GATTAAAGGAGCTACTGATATTTAATATTAAGAAGACGATGAGGTTGTGGATGGGAGAGCCTGGTAGAGAGTGTGTGTGAGAGAGAGAGAGAGAGAGAGAGAGAGAGAGAGAGAGAGAGAGAGAGAAATGGGATATCTGCCGGTCCCAGATCAGTTTAGTTCATTAAGGGGAGGAGATATTTGGGGGGTGGGGTGAGATAGTGGTATCCTCCATCAGGTCTCCAGATAGTCGGTGTGGAGCCAAACCCTGAGAAGAAGCTTCGGGACGAACTAGACAGGAAAAGGGACGAATGTGTGACTTCACTCTGCGCTGTCATGGTCAAGAAGTGGCCAAGGAGACACTTGACTGAGCGCTCTTACCCCGTGTCTTCCTGAGGTGCGCACAGTTGTGAAACATTATGAAGGCATCTGAGGGTCCCAGCGTGTCACGGTGACAGCAATGGATCACTTTTTTCGTAGAAAGCGGATCCCCGCTTTTCTGAAACCCCTGTTGAGTCTGTCTCTGATCTTTGCGTCTTTTCTCATGATCCAAAAGCTGAAACTGTCGGAGAAAGACGCAGTGGGGGTTAAACATGTGAGGGATCCGGCCTGGTGCGGCTCTGAGTGTTTTTCATTCAAGAAGACAGTTGTGACCAGTTCGGGGACCTCAGATTCTCCCGTGCCCGTCAAGGATTTGGAGATACAGCGGGTCCCGAATGTAACTCGGCCTTCTTGGGACGCGCAGGTTCTCAACTGTAGCGCGGACGCATCGGTGAGGACCCAGGACTGGTTCCGGCGCTTGGACCAGAGATTTCACCAGTTTGTTCTTCACAGACACTGCAGGTATTTCCCCTTGCTCATCAATCACCCGGAGAAGTGCGCCGATAGAAACGTTCACCTCCTTGTGGTGGTCAAGTCCGTTATCGAGCAGCACGACCGGAGGGAGGCCGTGCGTAAAACCTGGGGGAAGGAGCAAACCGTGAATGGGAAGAAAATTAAAACTTTGTTTTTACTCGGAAGCCCAAACACTGGCAAAGACGCCAAGAACCTACAGAAACTGATCGAGTATGAGGACCAAATCTTTGGGGACATCCTGCAGTGGGACTTCATGGACACTTTCTTCAACCTGACTCTGAAAGAGGTAAATTTTCTCAAGTGGTTCTATATCTACTGCCCCAAAGTGCAGTTTATATTTAAGGGGGACGATGATGTGTTTGTGAACACGCACAACCTCCTGGAGCTCATCGACTTCAAAGTGGAGCAGCGCAAAGCGGCCAACTTATTTATGGGGGACACCATCTCCAAGGCGATCCCCATCCGAAACCGACAGAGCAAATATTACATCCCCAAGGAGTTGTACGACAAGCCGTATCCACCCTACGTGGGAGGTGGGGGGTTTCTGATGTCCGCCTATTTAGCCCGAAGGCTCTTCGTGGCCTCGGAGGGCGTGGAGTTGTACCCCATTGACGATGTGTTTTTGGGGATGTGCCTGCAGAGGCTCCACTTATCCCCAGAGATGCATCCGGGCTTCAGGACATTCGGCATTACCAGACGCAGGGCGAGCACAATGAACACAGAGCCCTGCTTTTATAAAAACCTAATCGTGGTCCACAAACTGAGCGCGCAGGAGCTGCTCAGGATGTGGAGTGTGGTGCACAGCCAAGACCTGATCTGCGCACAAAAAACTTCGATATGATTGACAGAAAGTATAAAGTAAATGCATTCACTAAATCTGAGCTCACGGAAAGTCTTCTTTGGCCGATCATACTTGATGATCTTTACGCAATCTGCGGAGTCACGTTAATTTTTCCTTTACCGTTAGGCATGGGTCTGACATGGAAGATGAACTGAATTTAATGCTGTGTGTCACATTAAAACGGTTGATTTGTTTTCAGCTGACTCGGCAGGTTGGCGCTCTCCTCTCCACTTCTTTATGGGTTGATTTTCCGTTTTGTAAAAACCACTAGAGCACAGCTTTTGCATTGTGAAAGCATCCGTGTTTCTGTGCCATTCCAGACTGTATTGCCTTAATCTGAATTTAAAAACGTATTTAGAGACGTAGATGTAATAAACCCACGGGTGTTCGTGCAGGTGCGAAAAAGACTGACTTGTTACATCTAAGTGTTTCCCTTAAGCTTTCTTTTCCGACTTCAGGATTTCATTGCAACGTTCGAGTGCAACATGCGACTACATGATTTACAGCATAGAACACACAGCTGCATTCATATTTGAATGATTATTTTATTGAATAGAAATTGTAAATTGTAAAAATCTAATTATGGGTATTTTAAAGATAATATATTGGTTCTGTTTTACCTTGTTTTGTAAGATTTACAGAGGCAGCCTTGAAACCAAAGAAACCACATGTGTAACACTGTAAATTCATGTGTGTTAGTGTCAATAAAACCAGAGCTCTCTTGTAAACACTGAATAACGTTGCAAAACTTGATTGATATGTGTTTTATATTGCTCAACAATAATCCTGGAAGTTGGACACTGCCCATTTTTTTAATACACAGGGGGCTCCTAAACAGAGCCGTGTATTACATGTAACTTTTATGGGGAATTTTGATTACATGGAAGCACATGTGCAATAATCCCTGAATAATGATTTATTTAACAAATACATCTGCAGAAAAAAAGAAGTCAAAATGCTGTTGACTACAAATGCATGAACACAACTTTTACATCTACTTTTGCTGCAGCTCTCAGTACAGAAGCATACTAAAGCAAGTTGTTTTCCCCACTAATAAAACATACGCTCACATTAACGTTATTACCGTTTCCAGATACATCACAATCACTTTGTCGTCATCATAACACTGTGCAGCACAACAGGAGCACAACTGAAGAGATAATTATAAACCAGGCTTAATGTTATATGTAGGATTTAACTTTTTAGCTTGTGATTCTATCAGTTTGAAGCCAGTGATGTGACTCTGAACACTGGAGGGAAAACCATGTGGTGTACATAAAGTATGTAGCATATTCATGCCCACTTCTTTCCTCATTCTAGCAGTACTGTTTCACTCAGAGACCTACTTTGTCTCATTTTACTTCTACTTCATACTATCAGTAGGCATTGTGGAGGGAAGTAAGCCACTGCAGTGTGCTAGAAATTCAGCAGTAAAACATCATCCTTTGGCAAAGTGCTATTTCTATATAGAATTATTATAAAAGGAAAGCAAATATGTAAACAGTTGGCTAAGTGTGAAGTCGACAGCAAAGCTTCCCTCAAAGCAAAGAACATCTTCTGCTTGTAACTAAACTGTGATCTCGTTCCACCTCCTGTTACTGGGTGTGCAAGAAGGTATGAGTCATCGGCTTCTGAAGGGATGTAGCAATTAGACATATTTTTACTGAAACTGCGACGGTTACCCATAGAAGTTTCTCAACCTATTCATCTGGTGTAGTCCGATTCTACACAAGAAACTGTTGATTTTAGTTCCATGGGACAGCTAGCTAAGGTGCATGGATCAGAGGATGAAATCTTAAAAGGTCCAAACTTGCACTAGCACATTTACATAGATGAAGGCAATAAGCCATGTTAGACAAGCAGTGAAGTTCTACATACTCCAAGAGGTTTGGCCTCTTCAAACTCTACAATTTGAAGGTTAGGATAAAATAAATGTTTACATGCTACACTTGTTTGTTTGTTTTTTAGGTGTGAGAAAATCGTTGCGATAGCACGTTTATAAGCGAGAGCTTGTACTGCAGTTTAAGGATGTAT